TCTCTTAGATAAGATCTCAGGTCCTATGGGCCTCACCTGTCTCCCCATCCAGGGAAAGCCTGGTACTCTAAGCTCAGAAATGATATCAGAGATGAGCTGTCTGCTTACCACAGCCTGAGCCATCTTTAAGCCTCAAGAGAAGCCCAACACATGCTTCTGACATACAGTGAGAAAGAATAGGTGATCGCAACCCCTTGGAATATTGTCCAATAGAGGTATTGCAAGCTGAATACACCTAAGCCTGAAGCCTGGATTTTACCCTCTAAGTAGTCTCCAATTTGTTCTACTAGGACGTAATTCTTCCATTTTCTGGGGGAAAGGCTTAGGGACATCTTTGATTCTTTGTCTCATGTCCCACATCAAGCCCATCAGTATGTCCATTGAGACCTACTATTGAAATGTGTCTATAGAAAATCACTCCTACCCTTAATGGTTCTGATACTGGTCTTGCCACTGTCATCTGTCACCCAAACTATGGCAGTGTCATCCTAACTGGACCCCCTGTCTTCATTCTTACTGTTCATGGTCCCTTACTGTGTATCAACTCTTTAAAAATAGACACCAGAGCATGTCATCCCTCTGTTCAACACCCTCCAACAAATTTCCAGCCTCTGAAATTATATGCAAGAAGCAAGTCCTTCATTTGTCACTTAGTTGTATGTGGGAAATAAGTCCTTCTGTTTGTCACTTAGTTGTTTGTGGGAAATAAGTCCTTTGTTTGTCACTTAGTTGTATGTGGGAAATAAGTCCTTCCATTTGTCACTTAGTTGTTTGTGGGAAATAAGTCCTTTGTTTGTCACTTAGTTGTATGTGGGAAATAAGTCCTTTGCTTGTCACTTAGTTGTATGTGGGAAATAAGTCCTTTGTTTGTCACTTAGTTGTATGTGGGAAATAAGTCCGTTGCTTGCCTCTTAGTCAAGCCATAAGGGTAGAAGGAACCCTGGCCTAGCCACAGCTGGATTATGTGACTCCCAGAAGAGTTGCCCATTGGTCTGACAGATGGTTTGGACCTTCTCTAAGAAGAATAAAATGGTCCAATAATAAACTGCCCATCAGATTTGGAGCTGTGAATATGGGCATGGAGGTCATTCCTATATCCCTCAGTCCAACAGGCTGCTAAGGAGAGTGGATATACATCACAATATACTCCAAAGGACTGGTGCCAACCTTATAGTAGCTGAATTTTCAGTGTTACATTTCTTAAGATTGGCCAGTTTGGAGAATAATAAAACACTTAAATTTTGTTATCACCATATGGCAAATCTTCATAATCCCAAATTGGCCTCATTGACATATCTGGGGGCAATGAAGGGGTCTGCCCAGACCTTAATCTCCAGGAACTAGTCAAGGGAAGTGGGGCTCAAAGAGGTGACTTAATTGTGGACTACAAATATGTATCTCAGACACTGACAGAATAAGCTTGGACAAGTAACCTGTTAGCTGCTCTAGGCCTCAATTTCTCCATAGAAAAGAAAAGCAGATGAAAAAATGAATTTATAAAGTCTGTGGATTCTCAAATCTCAGAAATTCTGGTTCTTCAATGTCTACTAGACAGTCTATAAACGAGTCTCCCAGTCTCATTCTTACACTAATGTTCATAAAAGAAGGCTAACAAGAAACAAGACAAAGCTCTTTGCCATGTAACTTTACTTCCACTTGAGGACAATTACAGAATGTAGGACCAAAGCACAGCTGCCCACATCTGGATGCTTCATCACCCATCCATCCTGCCTGTCACCAGAAAAAGGCAGAAGCAGCAGGGGTGAGCAGGCGGCCTCCATCTGCCCAGAATACCTAAGGCAAAGGGGGTTTACATTAGGCCTCTATACCAACCCTTTTCACACAGGAGCATGTTATTGCCTTGTCATCCCAAAGAACTTGAGAACAGGACAGTTCTGGCCTATGCTAGTTCTCTGGATTCAGGCAAGTACAGTCGGAAAAGTGGAGAGCAGGGGCCTCCTACCCACACACTGGGTTCACCTCTTTGGTAAAGTTGCAGTGGCATAGAGGGTGTTAAACCACATGCATAACTCTTATTTTCTAGTAAGTTACAAAAAGATGAAAATAATCTTACTAGTTTTAAAAGCATGTGCCACCACTACAAGGCTGAGTGTGGGTTTTTGTTGTTGTGTGTTTTTTAAGAGTCTTTCCTGCCTTAGCCTTACCTTCGAATCTAATCAATGAATCCATCAAACAAGTCATTACAAGCCATCAAAGCAAGTCGTGTCAAAGGCACCACCTTCATTCTGTCCTTATCCCTTCTTGGGGTGCTTGTGACAGGAACATCCACTGCCCAGAGCTTTAAGTTTACAAAGTGAACATTGAATTTTAAAAACAGGATTAAGTAAGAGGAAGTAAGAACATGCGACAGGCACCAAGGAGGTGCAGAGAAATACTTACTTGATTTGAATCTGGACTCAGCCATAAATGGCCCCCAGCTGCCTGCTCCTGAACGGCTCCAGAGGCAATCACAGAATGGGACTGGAATAGTGGTTGTCCCCTGCTTTGCCAACCATACCCCACACACTGGGGGCTGCAGGAAGACAAAGACTTAGCAGCTTCCCCTAAAGGATTAACAATCTAGAGGGGAATATTGGAACCCCTGTACACAAACAAGTATGCCTTAGGCAATGTTTTCAGCAGGGAAAACCAGATGGAGAAGGGAACAATTATCTGAGCAAATCAGGCAAGCCTGCTGTTGAGGAAAAGGCTTAAGGAAATGTGTTCTATCTCCTTTGTGAACCAAGAAGTTAGGGCAGCCTGGGGAGGCAAGAAGCAAAAATACTGACCTCTAGAAAATTCAGAGCTCTGGCCCATGCTCTACCATCTCAGACAAATTATGAGACAGCTTTTTGCTCTCAGTATCCTCAGTAAAATGGAGCTAGAGTAGTAGCAGCATTGCCCCAAACCTGCCATTATAGGGCAAACCAGTTAGAAAACTGTACCATCTAGTAGCCACAAGTCACCTGAGAATCTGTTTTAAAAGACAGCATTTGCCACCATTAGCCCAGGCTGGCTTTGAATTTGTGATCCTCCTTGATTCAGCTTCCAGAGTGCTGGGATTATGAGTTCACACCACTATGCTTAGTAAGGAGACTGTCCTTTTAAAGGGAATGCTTAGTAATTGTAAATAGCTTTTGTATTCAGCTTCATAGGGTAATTTATGTGTATCTTGGGGCTTTTGTTTGACTTTCAGAACCTCATGAGATAGGTATTACTGTTTGCTCCTTGACTCTTGAGTATACGGGGATGGAGAGCGCACCAACACTAGTCTAAATGTATGCTGCCTGTGAGGACCACACACATGTGCTCTTACTCCTTGGTTCTGTCTTCCCTAGACTATGCTGCCTTCTTATCAAAAGCTTTATCACCAAAACATTAGTATCATTAATATAAATATCAGCAATCGTTTGTGTATACATCTTCTGGTGAAGAGCACCAAAGTATGAAAAGAGAAGCTTTGGAGAAGGATGTGTAAGGAGTGTAAGTCCTCTTTCTCCTCAGAGGGAACAGGAGCTGTCCCAATCTGATTTACATGTACTGCCATACAGCAGGAAATATTTAAGTTGACAAATAGGGTATTTACAACTGCAGCAGATACTTGGCAGCTAGTTTTTAACAATTGTTGCAAATGTGATTTATTTGCTGTTATGAAAGAGGATTACTGTGTGAATATGATCTTGAAATTAGCTTCAGTTTAGCAAGGGGCCTTGACAGCTTGACCCCTTAATATTCTTATAATGATGCCATTTACATTCAATGCTTACTCAAGTCACTCACTGCTAGATTTGTTTTAGAGGAGTCCACTCTAGGGCAGATGTATTGTGTATTTTAACATACAGAGTTGGTGAGTGGGGCACTTGTATGCCTTCTAAGAGGAAAAAAATATTTAATCAAATCTTCCTGAAAATGTGTTAGTTTCCAACTTCCTACAGTGAAAATGCATTACTGCTAATTACATCATGCTGCAGAAATACAATACTTTATGTTTTCTCCACAAGACACTTCCATGGCATGGGTTGTATTAAACAAGAACATGTTCTGATCCTCTGCAACTTTGACTTTTAATTTGACTAGAAGATTGGTACAACATCAATGGCCTCTTTTGTGGTGGTGCATGGGAGAAGGGTGGGCTTGGAACCAGACAGATATGATTAGAGTCTGAGTGCTACCCCTACCTTACTGTGTGGACTTAGGGACCTCCTGGACCTGTTTCTTTATCTGTAGCATGGGTTGTAGTTTTTAAAGTTACTAGAAAGATCAGAGAAGTCTGTGCAATACCTAGAATACCATATATACTTAGTCCATGCAAAAGATGGCTTTATTACTAGTTTAAAGCTCAAATGTCACCTTCAAAGGCAGCTTTGATTCTACCAAGCAAACTCAGGCTGTCCTTTCTGCTTCCATAATCATCACTGTAGTATATGTTACACTGTGCTGTGATTCACTGAGTATATGTGGATCTGTTATCTTGATGGCATGGCCTAGGCCTCTATATCTTTGACTCTGCTGACTTGCATGCTCTGCCTTGAGCATTCAACTAAGTTGGATTCTGGGGCTCTCATGGGAGCCTGAATGACAAACTTAAAGGAGAAGGAGGAGGTAGCACATGACCTACTTTTGTCACAGCCAGTTGAACACACAGTGAATGTTCAGTATTTACTTTAGTTACCACCTTCTTTAGCTTTTATCCAGTCTCAGTTGAGAACATTGTACTGTCCACCTCTGAAATAACAAACCACCACCAAAAAACATTGCCAAGATCTCTGTTAGATTGTCTTGGTCAGGTGTTGTCATTTTTTTAAACTTCCTGTATAATCACAAAAATTCTAATGAGAAACAAGCGCTGACCCCCAGCTATGTGATACAGAAACAGAAGCAAAGACATCTCTTCTCCATGAATCTTCTTGGCCTCTTGCTTGATCTAGTTAGGACTGGTGTAGCTCACTTTCTTCTTGGTCTTACCATACCCTCACTTCTCTGGTTCATGTTTTAACCAGGTATGGACAACAGGCCTCAACCTCTCATACAGTGACCAGTTATCCATGACTCAGCTCACCCTGTACTTGACAAATGGCCATCTGGATTGTGGTATGAGCACCCTGGAAGTGCCCCGCTTTGATCAAGATACAGAAAGGAAGAAAACGCGCCTTAGCATCCAGGCAGAGCTGGTAAGCAACAGATTCTTTCTGGTTGGTCTGGTGTTCAGCAGTACTTAACTGCTAAGTGAGCAAAAAGAGAATGACGTACCAGAGAGGTCACTGAACCATTTCAAAACAAGGTCCATAAATGTGACAGTCTTTGCCATAAAAAGGGGTAGCCACCCAGGAAGAGGGAGGAAGCAAGGTATGGAATGCCAGAGGCCATAGGCTTTCTGTTTGGGAACCTCCTAGCTTTCTCCATTTCTCTCCATAGTGCATCAGTGAACAGCTATTTTTGACAACCTTAATCCCTATTTTTCTGGCCCTCATTTCCATTTTGAGCTTACACTCCTAGATCCAAACTATTTAAAACTGTATGGTCTCTTCCCCCTACATCTTCTTGGGGAATCAAACCAGAGACCAGCAAGACTTACCTTCATCCTACTCCCTGCCACAACCAGACTACAATACTTCTAGCTGCTAAAATGTCTTAGATCCTACCAGTACCCTGCTTCCATGAAGATGCCACCTTAGAACTGCCCCCATCTCACACTAGTTTAGGAGCAATTCCTCCAGATTTCCTGTCTCCCTTCTTTCTCCTTAGTCTAGAAACTACAGTGAAGACTGATGAATAGCAAAAGACAACTTTAAGCATCCCACTCCCCTACCCAGAATTTTTTCAATAGAATTGTTTTTAAGTTGGACATGGTGGCACACACTTTTAATCCCAGTACTTGAAGGCAGAAGCAGATGGATCTCTGAGTTTGAGGCCAGCCTGGTTCACAGAGTGAGTTCCAAGACTGCTGGGACTACACAGAGAAACCCTATCTTGAAAAACAAAAAACAAAACAAAATATATGATATATTTTGTTTACTATTTTCCCTCCCCCAGCTCCTCCTGGACCACCCTCCTCTCCCCCATCCAATTTCATGTCCTTTCTTTTTCTCTCTCTTCAGAAAACAGGCAAACAAAACAACAAATAAACATGAATTTTAAAAAAAACAAGAAACATAAACAAAAAGACACATAAAAACAAAACCAGAAACTTAGTAGACCAACAAAAGACCAATAAGACAAAAAAAAATGCCCAAACTAAGCCATATGAAGACAAGACTAAAAAGAAGTATCACTGAGTTTGTTTTGTTTTGCCACATACTGCCTGTCATGGGGCCTGCCCTTAAGTGTGGTTAATGTATCCAGTGAGAATCCACTGGAGAAAACTAACTTTTCCCTTGCAAGTGGATATCAACTGGAGATAGCTTCTCGGTTAGGCGTTGGGAGCCAGTGTTCACTTCCCATTCTCAGCACTGGGGTCCTGTCTGGATTGAACCTGTGGATGCTGCCAGTCTCCTAGGTGTGTTAGTCCTCTTGTGTCTAGAAAACACTGTTTCCTATAGCTCTTAAGGACCTTTCTACCTTCTCTTCTACATAGTTCCCTGAGCCTGTAGAGAACGGGTTTAATCTCATTTAGGATTGAGTGTCCCAAAGTCTCTTACTCTGCACATTGTCATTATGGGTCTCTGTTAGTTCCCATCTACTGCAGAAAGAAGCTTCTGTGATAATGGCTGAATGAGACGCTTGTCTGTGGATATAACAGAATGTCCTAAGGAGTCATTTTATTGATGTTTTCCTTTAGCAAAACAATATTATTTGTTTTTCCATAAGTCCGTAGCTTATGCAGTCTCAGGTTCTTGGCCACCTGAGCACTGTCAGGTGTGGGTTCCATCTTGTGGAGCAGACCTTAAAAACAATCAGAGTGGTTGGCTACACCCACAAAGTCTGTGCCACCATCGCACCAGCGCATCACCGCAGGGTTTGTAGTTGGGTTAGTGGTAGCATACAGAGTACCTTCCACTACCGTGAACGCTATCGAGTGGGGGGTAAAGGCTGTAGTTGGACACCAGCTTGACTTCTCTGTGTTCAATGAGATAAGGTCTTACAATCAGGTTGTGGAAAGTAACCAATAGGCTTGCCAATAGTCTGAGATGTTTGGGGGTTTCCATGGGCCCCTTTGGCCAATAATTCAGCCAGATGTAACCTATTCCTGGCACTGGAGGTTTCCCTTCCTAGCTTAGTTCCTGAGGCCTCCCATGATCTGTCTCTCTCTGTACCATAGTCTCCTTTATCATCACTAGGATGACAGGCCTAAGACCTGCTGTTAGTAAAGTTTACCAACTATAGCATCCGGGGTATAAAGAGATTAGGTCTCCATGGGGAGAGTGGGTGCTTGTGGAACTAGCTAAACAGGTCACTGTGGAAAAGAACAAAGGTCAGCACGGTGAGATGGCCCTTGGTGTAAGAGTGTAATTGAGGCTCTGCAGCCACAATTGTCCTGAGTGCTGCTGAAGCGTTTCTTCTGCCCTTTCAAACAGTAGCTTCTTGTCCTTCTTGAAAATGAGGCTCCATCTGACACCCAAATACATTAAATAGACAGAGAATTCCAACTGGGAATGGTGGCGCACACCTTTAATTCTAGCACTGGGGAGACAGAGGCAAGAGGATCTCTGTGAATTCAAAGCCAGCCTGGTCTACAGCCCATCAATATTTAATTAGACTCTGTTTCAGAGCCTTCTTGGAGCAACATCCTCTACCTTTCTGCTGAACAACTTCAGAACTAGATGCCTCTAGGTTTAAAGGGGCCTGTTTGAGTCTGCCCTGTACCTCCACCATCCTAGAGAGGTTCTTGAATGCTCATGTGGCTTCTTCCTTTGCCCCTTCAGTCCAGTTCTCCTGTGAGGTGCCAGCTAGGGCCTTGCTCCCAGGAGTCACCTCAATCTTTGCTTATTGAAAAGAAGAACTGAACTGGGTATGAGGAAATTGCCCCCACTAAAGGTTTCTATTTTCAGCAGGAGGATCCGTGAAAGCCTTGGCTCAGTGCTGGATGAAAAGATGCAGTAAAACCCCATGCCAGTAAGAAGCTAGACGCTGAGCTGGTCTCAGCACAGCCTTCCAAAGACAATCCACTGCATAGGAGTGTAGCTTTGGGTAGCCATAAGCAGTAGTTGTACCTCAAATCAGCAGCATTCTCCCATTTCTCCCCCTCTTGCCTCTAAGTGACATTCCTAGATACAGGCCAACAATGGGAATTCCGTGAAAACTATTGTTTACTTTTATGAATTGCCCACACAAAACAGGAAACCCTTGAGAAATCAAGTATTTCTAGAATCATGGCAGAAAAGCTATTCAGGGATTCTGGTGTGAGAATTAGCTTAAAGTGCTGTAGGCTTCAGAGTGTAATAGATTCTTCCAGTCTGAACCTGTGTGTGTGTGTGTGTGTGTGTGTGCGCGCGTGTGTGTGTGTGTGTGTGTGTGTGTGTGTAGGCCCCAGGCATATTTATACATGCGCTAGGTTCTTTAAAAGGAAGCATGTACATGTGTACACAGAACAATTTTCAGCCAACCTGAAACTTCCAAAGCAAGTATGAACACACAGTGATAGGTTCACAATCAGCACCCTTTTGCAGATGGTAGGAGGAAATTAGGAGGTCACTATGAAGGGATGACATTTGTGATAATGTTCACAGTGATAGGTTCACAATCAGCACCTTTTTGCAGATGGTAGGAGGAAATTAGGAGGTCACTATGAAGGGATGACATTTGTGATAATGTTCCCACTCTGATGACAGCACATTCAGAACTAAGAGCTGGAATGTAAAATGCTCCTAGTTTGCTTCTATTCCTTAAATAAAGTGCTGTGCTGAGACAAGAAAAGCAAACAACAAAAGAGCAAAGACCCAGATCTAGACTCTCAGGAGCGCTCAGCCATGTCCACTGTGAGCAACAGGTGTCAAGACTGTTGGGAACCCCTTGGGTCAGGTCATGACGTCTGATCTAGACTCCTTTACAGTCAGCTAACCAAATACATTTGAAGGCATTAGCAAAGCCTGAGAAATCCCAGATATGCATATTTTAGAAATAAAAAGGGCCGGGGTGCTGGATTAGTAAGCACAGTGCTTGCTACAGTTGCTGCACAAGCACAAAGACCCGAGTTCGGTCCCCAGCACCCACATACGAATCTGGGTGCAGTGCTGCCTAGGTAAATCCGTAAGCTTCAGGGTTAGTGAAAAATAAGACAATGGGTGATTGAGGAAGACATTCAGTGCCATCTTCTACCTTTACATACGTGTGTACACATGCACACATACACACAAAGGGGGTCATTTTTTAAAAACTTTTAATTAACTTCAAAATTAGCATAAATAATCACCCTTTTCTGTCAACTTTAGAAGGTCTCTTCCTGGACCTTCTAAACCACAGATGCTGAGTAGCCATAAACAAGTCATCTTTGCTACATCTTAAAACAACCCAAGTCATTTATACATGTTTGAACAGATATGATCTGTAATGAATGATTAAGTAAAACCTTTTGTGTTAAATTATGATGTTAATAATGACTCTGTCTCCTGTAATTTATTATGAATTCTCAAATGCTTCGGGTTTGATTTTGATAGAATGCAACCACATCAGAGTTTATGTGATGACTTTATTTTTAGAACTCCTTCGTTGAAGGCACACATTTCCCCACTACTGCTGCTACTGTAATTATGTACAAAACCGATCACTCATTAGAGTTAGGATACATTATCTTCTAGACAGATGAGGCTAAATAAGCAACACATTAATAATTCAGAGAGCAGTTCATTATGCATGTGGATGCCTGCTTCATAACTGGAATAAGAACCTCATCAGCCTCTGCCAACCCTTAAACAATAGTTCTGTGTTATTGCAGCCACATTCCAGTTTACGCTTGTTAAACTGCTACTTGGATTATTTTATCAAACATTCATTTATTTGTGGTCCCTTACTGCCGAGAACAGATTTTGGAAGCTCCTTTTTTAAGTTAATGATTTGAGCAATGGGTGTTATTAATTCTCAGAATATTATAAACATGATTAATTTTCAGGCAGAGATTTATTACATGAGGATTTCAGCTATGTCAACTGAAATGCATCACTGTCAAAACAAGTATCATGGTGAAAATAGAATGCGTCCCACACTTCAGACGCTGTGCTCACAACTAAATCAATTTAAATTGTGGCTGAAGCAAAATTATATTCTCCAGTGAAAAAGAGTATTCCTGGCTTCTTTTATTTAGCTTGAAGTATTCTTGTTAGATCATGATTTAGAAAGGTGGTTTAATAAGACTAGACTAGCACTGATAATGTTTTGTGTGCTGTTTCTTCTTGTTTTCATGGAAAGGCTATCTTTCCAAGATTCCCCACACATTCCAGATGTGGCCAATGGGAATCTGGAGGGAAGATGTTGGTCTGAGAGGTCAGAGACCACGAATTCTGATCTTAGTTCTGGCATCAGTTTCCTCAGTTGTAAACAAGGAAGGGCTAAATAATCCCCAAGGTGTCCTGAACAGCTTTATGTTATGGGTCCTAGAGAATGAGATTGTCTGTAGGACGCCTGGCTGGAACCTCACACACTGGAGAGGACAGAAGGATGAACACAGTCACGAACCAATAGGAAAGGCTGTCTCTCTATACCACAGCCTTTCTCGAAAAGGTCCTTAGGTTGGTTTTTATTGTTGTTGCAGAAACTGTTCTGAAAGGCCATACCTGAGACTATCAGTCATCACTTAGCTGTATCATTAAACACTCATCAAGAATCAGCTAGAAGTAAAAACAGAAGGTCTTTCATCCAACACATGAAACATGGAGAAAACTGGAATAAGTGGCAAAGAACCACTTATGAAAGGCAGTGCCTGGATCTGCACAGAGCTTAGGGTGAGGGCAGCATCACAATTCACTAAGCCTTATCCATATGCACTAAGACCATCACATAAACCTGTTCATAGCCCAATATATTAGGCAGGCACTATTATGTCCATTTTTTAACTTTTTTTTTTCGTTTTTTGAGACAGGATTTCTCTATAGGTTTGGAGACTGTCCTGGAACTCGCTTTGAAGACCAGGCTGGCCTCAAACTCACAGAGATCCACCTGCCTCTGCCTCCCGAGTGCTGGGATTAAAGGCTTGTACCACTAATGTCTGGCTTATGTTCATTTTTAGATGTGAAAATTTGGGTTAAGAGAAGGTGAACACGTGTTAAAGATTGCTTAGCAAACAAATGGGGAAGCCAAGGTTTAATGTACAGACTGTCAAACTTGAAACCTGTGTTTGCCCTGCACTGATTCAGAGTTAGGGCTTGAGTTCCTGGGAGCTTCAGCTCCTTCCTGAGGATGCTTCTGGTTGAGACTTCAGAACTCACTTTCCAAAGGGCAAGCCATGTCCCTGTGACTAAGTTGCTTTCCAGTATGTATTACCCACTCACTGTCTCAGTGACAGGATAGGCTGGTGATCATGGAGTTGTACATTTTTTAAAGGAAGCATGAGTAGACATAGCTCTGGTTTTCTAGGCAGCACAGATGTCTACATAAGTAACAGAGAGGAGGGAAAAGATCAAGTCAATTAAAACAAAGAGCCACCTTTTCTAAAAACGAACAGTTTATATACTAAAACATGAAATATACATTTTCGCAAAGAAAATCCACAAGGCCATCTATAGGTGCCATTAGAGTGACTGCTCCAGAGTTCTTAAGAGGGTGACAATAGCCTGGTAGGGTGAGGAGGCTCTTTAGACATACATGGTCAGGCCTTAAAGACAGGGTAGTCACTGAGTAGGAAGGAAGGGAAGGCCTCCATTAGAGAGGGAGAATGTCTGTACGACCGGTGGTCTCTTAGAAGATGGCAAATCATTGGAAGAGGGAGGGGAGTGATGGAAGAAGTGCACTGAGCTCTGGAAGAGTCTGCACACTAAGCTAGGCTCTGAATTCCACCGAGAAGTAGCCTCGGGGTGCCCTGGTCTTACTGACACCCGGAAGTCCTACTCTGTTGGGCCCTGAGCTCTTCTGCTGAGCTTTGTGAGGGAGCACCACAGTATGGAGGGTGACCTGCCTACCAGGTGCTTCCCTGCCTCTCTCACTGACTGTGGCACAGTCTTGGTTGTGCTTATTTATATACTGAGGTAGCATAAGACAAGTTTAGAAGACAAATATAACCTCTTGGATGGAATTATCATGTGAGTTCACAGAAATTGCCATACACTTACATGCTCAGCAGCCACAGTGGAATTCCAAAGTGTTGCAGTTCATATCCATGTGTAAAGGCTCAGGCTTCGGGGCCTTCGCTATGAGAATAGGTGTGTGTCTGGCATGACAGAGTCTAGCCAGCTGAATCAGAGGTTCTCTTAGCCGGCTCTTGTCACCACGATATTTGCAACATGGTGACTACTGACAATAGTTATGTACTGCACATGGACCCTGCCCTGAGTGAAACGACAGACTCTAGATATCTCCTATGTGGAAGGAAGTGGGGATAGGATGGGAGGCTGGGGGGGATGGCGGGAGGGTGCGGGAGGAGGGGAGGGAGAGGGAACTGGGATTGACATGGGAAGCAAGCTATTTAAAAATTAAAGTAATAAAAAATAAAATAAAAACAAAAAAATGAAACTCGAGATAAACATACTTTACATGGTATGGCTTTGTTTAGTAAGCAATTCCAGTAGCTCTAGCTTGTTGGGAATCCCCATTGCCTAGCAGATGGAGCAGCATCTTCTGAGATAAATGGAAATAAGGAGACAGGGAATAGATCCTAGTTCTGACACTGCCTGCTGGGGTTTGTTGTGTGATCCACCTTTTCATTGCATGTAAAATGGAAATAGAATGAAATTCATTTATCCATTCTATTAAAAATAGTTTCTCACTCTTTAAAAAAATTGAAAAAGTAACCTAAGAAAGAACTAAAAATAAGATGGAATCCTGGAACATGAAAGGGGAAATATGGGAAAACTGATGAAATTCAAATTAAGTATGAACTTAGGTAGATCATAGTAATGTAGCAGTTTGGTTCCTAGTTAAGACAAATGTTCCAAAGCAATGTAAGATAGTAATAGCCATGCAATTGTGGTGGGATAAGCACTTCTGTGTTATCTAGTAATTTCTGCAGATCTATAACTATAAAGTTAAAATTTGATTTGAAAATTTTTAGAGTCTAACTTTCAGTTGTGACTTTTCTAGTCACCAGAAACCAGTCGCTATGCAGTGATGACCACCCAGCTGAAGCACGACAATCTCTCCCTAGTCTTCTATTATGTTTTTCTTCAGATGTGTAAGGCCCGTGGCATTGGCTATGACCTTGAGGTATGAGGGGTTATAGTTCATTGGGACTGGACCAATCATGTATGTGTAGAATTTAGGTGGCTGATAAACTGCTGCCCCTTCAAAGAGTTTATTTTTAAAGATTAAGTGGGTGTGTTCAGAGGAAGGCTAGGCATTTCACAGGACAGGCACCTGCACAACAACAGCTCCACCAGGGGTAGCACTAGTCCTGGAAAGTTCCCTTCTTCTCCAGACTTGCACAACCACATCATAGAGCAATAATCCTGGTTACCAGATTTAGGATTACCCTGGAGGCATTTCTTGATCCTGCAGCAGGCATGCCCTGAGCCTCCAGAGCCTACCCACTACTAAGAAATATTCTCTTGGTCTTTTTAGATGCATAGAACAGAAAGCACTAACAGAGTGGCTTAAGCAGAAAAAAATTTGTTTTCTCACAACTAGAGGGTGGAAATCCAAGAACAAGTCCCTGGTAGATTTGGTTCCTGGTAAGGGAATCTATTTATTTGATTATAGACCACCATCATCTTCTTGTGTCCCTAACACACACACACACACACACACACACACACACACACACACACACTCATGCACGCACGCACGCACGCACCAGAGGACATGATGTCTTTTGTATATGGAAATCAACTCTAAACGATCAGGGCTCTACTCTTATGAGTCATTTAACTTAGTGACCTCCTCAAAGGCCCTGTTTCCAGTATAGTCACATATGTGTCTTAGGGTTAAAAATACAAATTGGGCAACAACAAAAAGAAGTCTTTACCATTCTGCTGTTTACATGTGATGGCTTCTTTCAGGAAGGAGTTATGATTACTTTTTAAAGAGGGAGGCAGTATCTCCATTTTTGTCCCTGTGAAGCAGCTCCATCTAATGTACCTTCATGTAGCATGCGAAATACAAGGCCTTATTCCTAAACCAGGACCTCCAGTTTATGTCCAGAAATTCATGCTGCTCTGGAGAAATAATTTCCTATTTTTCCACTTGAACACATATTTTCAAATCTCTGGCACTCCAGGATGCTCTGAGACCCTACATGACCCTGTGCTGATTTGACAGATACAAACCCACATCACACCAATGTTATAAGAATAAATTCCGCTGCCCACATTAAATATAATGACATGATAATTATAAGTTACAACTTAATTGATTTTTTGATTTGTAGAGATACAATTCAATACCTATGAATTTTAGGCAAGCAGTCGCCACTGAGCCACATTCACAGCTCTGGTGTCTATGAATTTTCAGTTTTCCTACTTGAGAAACAATACTGTTTTCAAGAGTCAACTTTTTATGGGCTCCTTAAAGTCATCCAGACATTAAGCACAGTACCAGCTATGAACAGGACGCCCTGGATGACAGATGGCAACCCCAGTCAGCTGCCAGGGCACTGTCACGATCATGAGGCCCTTTGGTTAGCTTGATCTGTGCTGGTGCAAATGTATATAATAGAGCTCATATTGCTTTGTAAATTACATTCAATTTGATGCAATTCAGAAAAAATGAAAATACAAGAATGAACTGATTTACCTGAAATTGTTACATATAGTGCACACAATCCCTTCAGAATGAAATAGTTTTTAGTCCCAAACTGATGGGACTGAAATATTTCCATGTATCACAAGATAGCTAATCTATTTGTTTTTATTTTTCTAAACTATCAAAACAGAATACATTCTATGAATCAGCACATTTGGCAGGGAAAGTCTCAAAGACGCCCAGAACAAAACATACTTTATCACTTCCTACTAAAGTGTGTTTATTCTTGAGCTCAAGGCTTTGCACTTGATTGGAGTTATAATACTTTTGAGAAAAGTAAAGCCCAGAACTCAAGGAATTATTTACACCTTTGTTTCTTGATTGATTGCCTGCAGTCACTTCTTTTTTTTTTTTTCCCAATTTGGTCTCTGTAGAGACTGTCAAAATTTGCCAATGCTGAGTGTATTGCAAGTTGTCACAAGAGGTATTGGGAAAAGTTGTTAATTAGTGATAATTGTGCCTACAGTAAACCTCATTGGCTATGATGCTGCAACTAAGAGCAGTATCGTAATGAGAGAATTGTTGTGGTCCAGGGGGCAAGCACATGGTGCAGAGGAAGCAGATCGGTGAGGGTCAGGCCTTGCTAGGGAAAGATACAGAAAGAATGGACAGAGAGGCATCACAGATAGCCATGACAGTTCCACAGACTCATCTGCACATTTGCTTGTGTTCAATAACTTACAAAGGATGGAAGATAAAAATGTAAAGAAAAATACAGATTAGGGACAACAGAGTAATGGAACAATACGAAGAAGAAAAACAGAATCAGAAACAAAGGAAAGATAAAGCCCAGAGATTGGAGGAACTCATAAGAAAACAGGGAGGATAACCGGAATCCAAGCAAACAAATATATATTAATAAATACATTTATATACATAAATGTATACGCACGTACATAAATTAATACACATAAATGTATATAGATATACCACATAAATCATACATGCACGCATGTGTATGGATTAGGGACAACACAATGTATGCATGTGGTATGTGACAGAGAGAGAGAGGAAGCGAGCGAGGCTGAAGTGATAATCATCTGAACACATGGGTGCTTACAAGCTTTCCAGTTGTATTATTGCCTGACTTTCCCTAAGCTGGGCTCTCATGTTTCTAGACTGTAGAAACGGATTTAGAAACTGATCCCTAGTGAGAACTCCTCTTCCTTTCCTTACATTTCCCTCTTTCGTCTTCCTCCTGCCCCCTTGCTCCCTTTTTCTTCATCATCTTCTTTTGATTTCCTGAGACAAGATCTTACTCTGAATCTTAGGCTGGTTTTAAATTCCTGGCAATCTTCCTGCCTCAACTGCTCAATCCCTGGGATTGCAGGCATTCTTCACATGCCTGCTCCCCTTCCTGTCTTGATGGACCTCTCTCAGGAAGGGAGATGATGGCCATGAGAATCCAAACTCAGGACCTCTTATGAACTGAGCCATCTTCTTAACCTGAAGTAAAGATTTTTGAGGACTTCAACAGTTAAATGAAACATTAATATACACTGAAGGAGGTTGTACAAGTTTAAGACATAAAACAACCTCTGGGTCCTCAGCTATCAATAGATAGTAAGTGGTAGGAAGTCTTAGAGGTTCTAAGGAAAGCATAATCTCTGATGTCCACTTCAGATATGGCCAAGGATTATTATGGAAAGAGGATAATCAGAAGGCACAGTCAAGGCCACAAGAAACAAAACACAAAACCCACCACTTACAAGAGTCCTCTGAAGTTCATGGAAACACCCTGCTAGAGAATATTTCCCCCACATACTACAGGAGCCCAGTGGAACTTCAGAACCGCTACAGACTGTCTTCCATTTGTGTCATTCTTTCCCCTTCCAAATGGAAGAAATTATAGCAGTGGCCTCGTCCCTTTACCCACAGGGTTTGAGTGGTGAAGGTTGAACAGATAATTATTTTCTCCTTTTTAGCACATGTCTTTCCATTTCGAGACCCAGACCTAATCTGGAGACAACATGGGTCATCCATAATCATGTTGTTCTAACACATCATATACTGTGTAAAATATGTTCCAAAAATTTGTTTTATCGCTGCCATAACTTAAAAAGTAAACATCATTGCTTTGATTTTGTAGATGAGAACGCTAAGGTTTAAAATTAACAGCTTTGCAAGGATCCATAGCATAGCCTTATTTTTGTGTGCTTTCCAGTAACTAGTCTTGTATAAAGGATTTTTATGCAAGAGCAAATTCTTAAATATTTTAAAAGAAAGAATAAGATAAAAACAAATGTAAAAAGTTAATTTAAGTTACCATCCCAGGGAAGCATGCCTGAGTAAAATAGAAACAAGGAAACTGATGGCCGGCAAGTAACAATGGGAGGGTGTTTTCCAGGAAATAAGACTAGGCCATGGAGCTAGAGTAGAATTGTCTACGCTGAAGTCATTCTGACGCACAAGTGAAGTAAAATACTTCTTTTATGGATATTAAAGACAAAAAGTTTGAGTAAGCCTTCGGATGAAGGCTGAAAAAAGTCCTGGCTAACTGTCCTAGAGAGATACTTACAAATGTACTGCCATGCCTAGAGATCTCTTTCTGTCTATGACAATGTAGTTTGTACTCAACTTAATCACCAAAACTGAATTGTAAAACGTGCACAAACATTTATAGAACTACTTTTTGAAAATAATCACAACCAATCAATCAATACATGAAGAACTCTGGTCCTTAAGAATAAGACTGTCACCAGGCAGTGCACACCTTTAATCCCAGCACTCGGGAGGCAGAGGCAGTTGGATCTCTGTGAGTTTGAGGCCAGCCTGGTCTACAGAGTGAATGCCAAGACTACACAGAGAAACCCTATTTCAAATAAAAAAAAAAAGGAATACGACTGTCAAATTTACCCCAATTTTGTTTGTTTTAGGTAGGATTGTTTTGTTTTACTTTGCTTTGAGAACAATAGATCCAAACAGAAATCACAATCATACTGGTCTAAGGAGAGAAAGGGTTAAATTCAGAATGGCCAAAGAATTTAGTACTTTATTACTAATACAATGAATAGCTGGAAGGCTAAAGACCAGGTAAGGACTTCAAAAACCCTGTGATACTGGGGATGAAATGTCCCAAGCTATTAACCTGGAAGGATCCTAAGAAACACCCCAAACTTTAAGTGAGAACTTCAAGAAGAGTGTGAGAGGAGTGGCATTTGCCTACGGGAAAAGACCCAACACAAGGAGGATGGAAAAACTGCCTTTTAACCTCAGCCCTTGGTATATCCAGACGAATAGCCATTTCTCTAACAGAAAACAAACTTAGAACCCACCACACCGAACAATAACACCATCTAGGGCAGTGGTTTTCAATCTTCCTAATGCTGTGACCCTTTAATAACTCGTGCTGTGGTAACCCCCAACCATAAAATTATTTTCATTGCTACTCCATAACTGTAAGTTGGATACTGTTATGAATCATAAATGTAAATATTTTTGGAGATAGAGGTTTGCCAAATGGGTCA